CAAAAGCATCATACCACCTGTTTTGTAGAGCAGAAGTCGTAGCTATGAGAGTTAGGCCTGTCTCCACAATAATATGATGTCGGCAATCTGCAACACCATTCTATTGGTGCGTATGAGGACAGGAACGCCGATGAAAAATACCCATAGAATGAAAAGCATCAGTAAGAGGCTTATACTCTATTCCTTCATCAGTCTGAACAACCTTCATTTTACAGTCCAATAAATTTTCAACATGATTTTTGAATGAAAGAAATAAGGATGGTGCTTGAGATTTAGCAATCATAGGAAATATCCAAATAAATTTACTAAAAGCATCCACAAAAGATAAAAGTATTTAAATCCTTCAACCAAAGTAGTGGGTGCAGGACCCCAAACATCAGAAAAAATCAACTCTAATGGTTTCGTAATGACTGAAGTACTAGAAGAAAAAGGAAGAGAATGAGCTTTCCCTCTAGGACAGGCCGTACAAAAGGAAAATTTTTTATTAGAAATAGGTAAATCATATTTGGAAATAATGTGAGATGTAATCCTATGATTGGGATGCCCCAAACGCAAGTGCCAAACATCCTTAGCGGTGCGTTCTCCAATCATAGCTGTAGGACTGCTACAAGAAATGGATTACACCTTGTATAAGCCATCTTTAATTGGTCCTCTGAAGAGAGTCTTCCCCATCATTCGATCCTTTACAAGAAAACCACAAGCATCAAATATAAACACTGCATCATTATCCTTGCAGAATTGGCTCACTGACAATAGATTCCTAGTGATCCGAGGTACATGCAAGATATTATGTAAATCAAAGGATCCAGATGAGGTGTGAATAGTGGAAGAACCAATGTGAGAGATAGGTAAATGCATACCATTACTGACAATGATTTCCTCAAAACCATTGTATGTATTATGTAAGGACAAATTACTGAGATTTGCAATAAGGTGATTCATGGTGCTAAAATTCGGATACCAGACTGAATCACGAGAAGACCCTACAGAAGAGGTAGTGCAAGAAGCCACATTGGCATTCTTGTTTGAAAATTTCTTCACCCCTAGAAGCTCCAGATATTTCTTGCAAGTGGCAGCAGTGTGTCCAACATGTCCACAAATCTGACAAACAATAGAAGTATCCTTACCATTGGGTCATTTAGAACCATTGTTGGGATGTTTCTTGTTGTCCGAAGAAGAGAACTGCTGAGGTTTGTTTAAATAATGCTGCTGTGAGTGGCCAGAGGTATTCTCCCCCTTCTTACTTGCAACATTAGTAGAGGGAAAATCAATAGAAATAGCATGGCGAGTTAAGAACTTTTCAAAAGTAAGAAGTAAGCTCTACACTTCTGGCATGGTCAAATCATCCAAACGAGCAGTAATAGTGATAACAAAAGTGTCATACTCTGGTGGCAAACCACCAAGAAGATAGTGAATGAGATTTGAATCTGATATAAAGTAATTAGACGCAACAAGAGCATCAGAAATCCCTTTAATTTTTTGAATGTAATCTGCAACTGACAGATCGCCTTTTTTAATATGTGCTAACTCTAGCTTCAAATCATGGATCCTGGATTTGTTAGTGGAAGAAAATAAACAGCTGAGCAGGTCCTATACTTCATTAGAAGTTTTGCATCCTATCACTTGAACAAGAACATGATCTGTGAGAGAGGAAAGGAGCCAGCTCAATATGAGCTGATCTTGTTCATACTAGGAGATGAATTCAAGGTTGATCTGTTGATCATTAGTGCCAGGAAGAAATTTCGATGGACATGGTAGTGATCCATCGACATAACCAATGAGTCGATACCCATTGAGTGTAGGGAGAATTTGCATAGACCATAAGAGATAGTTGTATCTATCTAGCTAGGCGTACAGTGTTGACATTCACAAAACTGGACAGAGTAACCAATCCATTATTTCTGGAAGAGGACTCACCTTGAGAGTTGATCGAAGAACTTTGAGCAGACATGACGTTAGTCTTCAGGCTCTGATACCATACGAGAGTCGATGAAAGTGGCTAATTCTCATTGATTAAATTGCAGAAGTTACATGAGTTTATATAGGTGAAGATACAGATTTTGAAATTCAAAATTAAATGTACAGATAAAGTGATAAGTACAACAAGATAATGATTATCATAAGCTGATAATAGGATAATTGTTATCTGGGATTGATAAGTCCACAAATAACAAACTATTGTTGTTGTCTAACTGATGACGTGGCTGATGGAGTGGAAAGTGTGGATTTATCTCTAGCAGGTGCTAATAGAAACTCAGTGTCAAGTTATTACAGTCTCTCCATGGATGTCTCAAGTGAGTTGAAACTGAAATGGGAAAGCAATGTCAATTACTGGGTTGGTGGGAGTACTTCTCTTTCAGCTGTTCAAGCCATCCTCACCTCTGATGGAGCCCTGCAACTTCTTGACAGAAGATCCAGATCAGCTGCAACTTCTTGACTGAGGATCCAGATCAGTGTGGTCACTGTTTGGAAAAGATCACAATGATTTATCGGTTGGTGCATTTTTTATTTCTGCGACTAGATATAGATGGAAATCTCCAAATATATTCATGGGTTGAAGCATCAGGGTCATGGCAGTCAGTATGGCTTCGGCTTCAATCAGTGCAATGCCCGTTCAAACAGCCTTTACAGCCTTGCATTGGGAACATCTTTGTATTTATGTGCTTTATTTCATAGGGAGATATTCCCAATGCAAGGTTGCATGAAGCTGTTCGAACAGTATGAGCATGGACTTGCACTGAGCAAGACAGTCTGTATGGCATCTGTGTTTTCATATATAGTAGCAGGGATCATTGACTGCAAATGCCCTTTGCCTAGGGGCTGATTTTCATTCCAAATGTGTGGCACCATATAAACAGAAGTGTGAATCTGGTACCACCATGCTCATGCTTGATCACACTTACATGCAATGGTGGAATTAAAACAAAAAAACTTCCTCTCTTCTTGACTCATGGAGTTTATGGTGACTGAATGCTTCCTCTCTTTTTTACTCGATGGAGTTGAGTTTTAGGGGTGGGAGATTGAAAGAAGACGGTTAATGAGGTATTCTAAGTTAAAGTTTCATAATTATTTAAGTAAAATTCTATGTGAAATTATATGCACAAGGGTAAAATGGGTATTTAAAAAAATAATGCATAAGTGGAATGTTTGTGTTGAGGGGAGGTTTTTATGATTGACAGAAACCTAAGGGGAGGTTTTTTTATTAAGTAAATCTTTTTTTTTTTCAACAGAAACTTTTGATTAAAATGGAAAAAGAATTCGAGGAATTGGGTCCTCGATGGAGAGAACCCATCTCCAATGGGGATCGGGGATGGGATTCAATTTTCTCCCCAACGATCAAGGTTAGTAATGGGAAGTTACTTAGAAATTGAGATCGAGGATGGGGAGTATGATCCCTACCCCAAACCTAATTGCCATTCCTAAACGAAGTTACTTATTTTTATTTAACTTAAATTAACTTCACTTACATAGATTAAACCTCCACGCTTTGATCAACCTTCCCCTCTACTTATTTGACCTATGCAACTACCTCTCCTAAACTAACATAATTAATTTTAAGTTACTAATATATTAATTTTAATTAGTGTGTTCTTTCCTTTATATAAATTGCATCATTAGGTAGGTTTTTTAGTCAAATAAGTTCTTAAATTACTTAGAACTTCCCTATAGTTTTACATCTACGAAAATTGCCTCATATTTGTGGTGCAAATGCCCTTATTAATTATTAAAATCAATGAATAAAAATTTTAAAATTAAGGCTGCATTTGTTTGAGGTGTAAATTCAAATTTTACACCATAGAAAAATGTGAACTGGTTTAGTGAGTGATGGAAATTGGGATCGGTTGATTTTGAAAATTTACACTGATCATGTTTGGTTTTTTATGGTGTAAATTTTCAAATTGGGTCTCGACGGAAAAAGGTGAACAGACAATGCTTATGCAATGCTTTAATGCGTACACCGGCAAGATTTGCACTGTTACGCCACTCGCCGCCATCAAAACTAGATTTGATACACCGGAACTGGGTCTAGACGGAACTCTAATATGCCGCTCGCCGCTCACCGCTCACTAATACGCTGGAGCTGATTCACTTTCTTCTTTGATCGAATTCTGATACGCCGCTGCCGCTCAAACTCACTGATACGCTCACCGCTCACTGATACTTCTTCTATCGAACTCTAATACGCTCATTGATATGTCGACGTTCACTGATACGCCGGAGCTTGTTCACTCTTTGGACAAAACTCTGATATGCCACTGCTGTCGCACTGGTTCACTCTCTTCTTAGGTCGAACTCTGATACGCCATCGCCGCTCACCACTCATTGATACTCTCTTCTTCGATCGAACTCTGATACGCTCACCGCTCAYTGATACGTCGCCGCTCACTGACACGCTAGAGCTAGTTCACTTTTTGGACGGAACTCTGATATGCCACCGCCATCGCACTGGTTCACTCTCTTCTTCGATCAAACAAAGAGATGCAGCTATTGGACAGAGGAGACGTGAGGTAACTGTTGGGCAGAGGAAGAGGAAGGGAAAGTTTTACATCGATTTTATCGATATAAACTTTCCACTGATTTTCGATGAATATACTGACAAGAATGGACTTTTTCACCCATTGATGAAGTATATTAACACCTCTACCAAATGCCTGCAAAATCGAACCGGGATATAAAGTTTACCCCAATTCTCATTTACACCTCTACCAAACGCAGCCTAAATGGAAAGCTTAATTCATAAAATTACAAAATCCGTGCATTGCACGATTAGTTTGACAATAATTCAAGAAAGTATTAGGTAAATCTATGTGTGGCTATTGCATTGGTGTTTTCTGATTAAATTAATATATATGTGTGTGTGTGACGAATCATTTAAACCGAACTGCTAAGAAACGCATCAATGCCAACACCTTTTTTTTTTTTTTTTTTTTCATTCTCTTCTCAGAAATCCATATATAAGTGATGATTTGGGTTTGGTAGGAGATCTATTCCACTCTCCCTTTAGTTAATATTTTTTTCTTCCAAAGCACCAAGTGAATCTCTGTAAGGTATGTTCTTATCCATCTTTCACGTACATCTATGTTCTTGCACGTTATTTAATTTCTTCAATCTTTCAGGGCCATAGCGCAGTCCGTGGATTAATGGACAGCCAATATGTTTCATCAGGAGCAAGCAGCAGCAGTGAATCTGATCATCTCTCAGAAGGAAGCAACGGTGAAGAAGAAATGAAGATCATGGAGGCCCAGATGAGGCTAGAAGTAGAGGGCGCCAACCACAACACCAGGCTGGTACCACGCGTCCTACTTCACTGGAGCTCCAGCGTCGTCCCTCAGCAGCCATCAACACCACCTGGCTACCATCCCGACGTCACCGTTCGCTACGCCGAGGCCCACTGTTGGGTCTCCTACGGGAGCCTTCTGTCCATGCTCCGGCAGATGATGCTGGCCCATTTCAAGGATGACACCAGCGTGGCATTGCTTCGGCTCCAGCTCCAAGACCTGATGCGCACACCGTGTCCCTTCTCTTCCACCAGCCGGTTTCCCGTCGGCGAGGTGTACGCCTGCTTGGATAGGCTGCCTCTCGGCGGTGTAGTGTCGAAACTCATGGAAGCCATGGCCAAGAGCATGGTTTCGTCTTTTGATAACAGCCACATCATGGCCTATCACAAGGCAATTCGTGAGGCGATACGCCTTTTGTCGATAGATGCTGAGGGGCCTTTTCCCTTGTTGTATTCCCGCGACATATTTGAATCAGCCTTTTTGCTGCAATGGATTGATTAATGTGTTGAACGACTGGTAGTTGTGGAATTCGATCGAAATCCGCATTCATTATCTTAATGCTGTATTAATTTGAAGTTGAATAAAATTTCAGAATGCTCTGTTGAAATTTCACTGCATTATGGCCATAACAAAATTTCAGTATATATGAAAAGTTATGATTGGATTATCACGTCGAAATTGTTAAGTGTTCGACTATGGTCCCGGAAAATTTTCATCATCGACTAAGAGTTCAGAATATGTTCGATATTTAGAACCCTAGAAATCCCCCAAACATAATGAAACAGAATCATGGAAAGCAGAAGCGTGAAGCAAGGCATAAGTACATAAGGCATCACTTTGACAACTGACAAAAAATGGCAACTTTACTTCTTCGTTTGTCTTCTTTTAATGGAGAGGGTGTATTTGGGTTGATAGAAAATAAGACATAAAAAGAAATATAATTGATGGAATGTATTTTAAAGAATTTTTTGTTTTGAAAATTCTTCCCCCAACTTTTGTTCTTCTCTTATTTAAATATCAGAGAAGGTTTTGTACATTCTAGACCCTATTCACCTCCTTATACCTCCTAACTTGTACCCTCAAAATTTGTAGTGGGTTGGAATTTCAAAATCCAACACCCCCTCCCCCAATATTTCCCATTAAATATAAGCAATAAATAAATAAAATAACATGAACAATAATAAAAGATTCTTATTATTTGATTAAAACATGTAGAAAATACAGAAGCTATCAATTATTATTCACATAAAATTCAAAATATTATTAGGGAAAATTCCCGATTAGTACCCTATACTTTGAGTCTAGTGCTATTTTGGTCCCTAAACTTTAAAATGCGACAATTCAGTACCCAAACATTCAAAACGTGACAATCCAGTACCTGCCGTTAACTAGCTATTAACTAGCTGTTAAGTGGCATTGGAAAAAGACACAAATGCCTTTGAGTGTCATCTAATTTTCTTTATCAACATTCCAAACATTGACAAAAGATTAATAGTCTCAAATCCTTGCCAAATCTATTGAAGAAAGTTGGGGTCACCAAAATGCCCACACAAACATGACCCCAACTTGTTTGCATGGAACATGCAAGGATTTGGGACTATTAATTTTTTATCAACGTTTGGATGGTTGATAAAGAAAATTAGATGACACTCAAAGGGAATTTGTGTCTTTTTCAAAGGCCACTTAACGGTTGGTTAATAGCTAAGGCTGCAAGTCGAGTCGGGTTAAGTCGGGTTGAGGCCAACCCTAGCCCAACCCTAAGTTCTAAACCCCAACCCGACCAACCAACCCTAACTAAATTCCTTCAACCCTAACCCAACCCAAGCTCATAGAATTTCTCAGTTTTAGATCTTAACTTAACTTTCACTACATATATTAATCCTATATTTCATTAGTATTTGTTTGTTGATGTTTTTTTTTGTTCTTTTGGTACAAAATTCAGATAAAAAAGTGTTAGAAATGACTATAGTTTATTATGAGTTATGACTTACGGTAGATCTTTCTTGGGCAACAAACAACATAGAGGAGATAAAGAATAAAATTTTCAAAAAAAAAAAACAAAAAATAATGTTATTAAGGTTTTAGTCTTTCTGATTAGGATTAAGTGAAGTGATTATCTTAAAAGAAATACATGATACTATGTGGTGGGGGCTATACAAATATCATGCATATAAACAAATCTATGTAAATTATATATTACAGGTACTATAGAGTCGGGTTCGGGTTGGATCAAGTTGGCTAAGGGGTCAACCCCAACCCAACCCAAAGTAAAGTTGGGTTCATGAATTTCAACCCTAATTAACCCTAACCCGAACATCAACTCGACCCAATCCAACACGAAACCCAACTTTTTCGGATTGGGTTAGGGTTGAATTCGGGCCAACTTGGCCCAAGTTGTAGCCTTATTAACAGCTAATTAACGACAGGTACTGGATTGTCACGTTTTGAAAGTTCAGGTACTGAATTGTTGCATTTTAAAGTTTGGGGACCAAAGTGGCACTAGACTCAAGGTACAAGGTACTAATTAGGAATTTTTCCATATTATTAAATTCAATACCTAATTCATAAGTTCACATGCCTTCCAACAATATGCAGGTTGGGGGGGTTCAAGGTTTAGCCTAATAATGTACTCTATCTATACCCATGCGGGTTATAAAATCTCAAAAAAATGTACTCACCCCAAAATTTATTTTAAAGCAAAAAAAAAAAAAAAACCCATTGAAGCACTTAAGAGTAGGGTGTCAACGGTATTCGAAAATCCAATTTTGATTTCGATGTTCGACATAATCGAATCGAATTTGGATAATTCAAATATCTAATCGGTCGAATTTGGATATGACCTGATTCGATTTGATAAATATCTGAATTTGACTGATTATTTAATTTTTACATATAACATATAAATTATTTTATATAATTTATATATATGATTAAGTTATTTAAATAATTTATATATTTATATACTTTATATCAATAAAAATATTTATTTTATATATTAATTAATTATCTAAAATAATTAATTAATCAAATTCAAATCGAATCGAATATTCAAATATTTAATTGGATTCGAATTCAGATATTACTTGATCCGATTCAAATTCAATCCATTTACACGCCTACTTGAGAGTGGGTACCTACCGGGTAGGGCAGAAAGGCTCCTCTGAACTTTCATTTGCCACAAAGTCCCTTGTGAACTTTTAGATTCCAACAAAGACCCCCTCCATTAATATTTTGTTAATTAACTTTGAAAAAAATTCTCATGTGACTATTTAAGATTTTCTAAATATCCAAACTACACTTTTTTTGAACAATTTTTAGAAGTTGTTTTCTCAATTTCTATTTGTTACTGGTTTAGTTGATATTAATTACATGTTGTGTTTGTAGCAATTCTAGGTTTTCATAAAAGTTTCTCATTTTTCTTTTTTTTTGGTTGCAATTTTCATTTTATACAAGTTTTAGCATGGAGAAGTGGTCTTTGTTGCAAAGTTCAGGATGGTTATTGCCACTATCCCAAAGTACAGGGTTGTAATCTGTAATTTACCCTTTATAATTTGAGCTCCAGGTTAAGCATTTACTAAATTTAGTAAGTTTGCTCAAAGTTAATAGGTTCCATGAAGTGAAGACTCTTCCAAGTCAGGTATCATTTAGCCACTTAGGTCCCTCCAAATATGGAGTTGTGATCAAACCCATGTAATTGCAAGTTCTTCATGGTAATTTCACGTTCTCTATGCCCCCAACCCATTGAGATAGTGCTACAAATGGTATTTGATTGTCTGATTTCAAATTTGATTTTGAAGTTGATCCTATCAAGGATAATCCGAATATGATTTGTTTATGATTGGATCAAATATAGATCCACTCCTATCCGATCCAATTTAAGCTGATTGGATTTGATTTAAATATATATATATATATATATATATATATATATATACACACATACTCATATATACTTTATATGGTATCTACAAGTAAAGTTGATTTGAATGTCATATTACTACTCTACTGTTTAGATAATTGACAAATTGTACCCTTACTATTTAACTATTATCTTAAACCACCATTACTATTTTTGACAATTGTCATTGCCATTAAATTGTATCCTTACTATTTTCATTTTCTTTTTCAACCTTTTTCGTCGTTTTTCTTCCTTTCCCTCAGTTTTTCGCTCATCCTTCTCTCCCCCTCTTCTCTCCTTCCTCTCTCCCTCATCTGTGCACCCTGTTCATCGCCGCCACCATCCCTGCCACTGCAAGCAGCATTTTCTCCCTTCTTTCTCCGCTACCTTTCTTTCCCTCTTGTCTCCCTATCTCTCATTCTCTCTTTCCCGTTATCTCTCTTTCTTTCTCTTTTCCCTCCTCTCTCACTTCCCTTGTTTCGCAACCGCTGCAAATTGTAGTAGGTGTTGGGAGAATCACGAAATCAAGCAAATTATAATCAAGTTTCAAAAACAGCGGAAATAATATTTTTCTCCCACTTTGTGTGAATCTGTTAGGAAACAATTTAGTAGAGCTTAAACCAAAGAACAAGCACACAAGAACACAACCAAATTTACGTGGACAAACCTTCCCGGTGTGGGAAAGAAAAAAAACCACAGTCACCCAAAAACTTTCACTATCAAGAAAGTGATTGTACAAGGGTTCTTTCTAAATAAAACTAGAGGCATACAATCAGAAAATCATCAAGAAAATAAGTTTCTTGGAAACTAACAAATATCTCAAGATAATGGAGAAATCTCACCCAAAATGGAGGTACTGTTCGTGGACTCAGATCTCACAAACCAGTGAGCCAAACAAGATCTCCACCATTCAGATTGAAGAACCTTAAGTCGCGAATATGCCTACAAAATTTTAGCTCAATCGGACCACAAACGACCTTCGATCGGAGCACAAGATGAAAACCGCAAAGACTGAAATTCTCTTCCTTTTTCTGCACGGGATTCTCTTCCTTTTTCTCTCTCCGTTTTTGCACGGGATTCTCTTCCTTTTTTTTCTCTTCTTCTCCCAACCTTTTTGGCAACCAACACCACTAAAAGGTTATTTCTTTTTCCTATTTTCATTTAAACAATAATACCCTCATCCATGGGCTAAAAAATACCACATGGGCTTCTTGGACCATCCTCCACATAAGAGGGAAACCCAACAAATCTCCCCATTTCCCAACTAGGTGGAGGGATTCGCCAACCCGGCGACCAAGCGACAAACCTCAAGTTTTTCTCTTGGTAATGATTTTGTTAACATATCAGAACCATTATCATCTGTGTGAATTTTTTCAAGTTCAAGTAATTTGTTGTTTAGAGTATCTCTTATCCAATGATATCTCACATCGATATGCTTTGACCTTGCATGAAATACTGAGTTCTTAGCCAAGTGAATAGTATTCTGATTATTACAGAACAGAACATACTTCTGTTGCTTGAAACCAAGCTCCCTCACAAACTGCTTCATCCATAACAAGAAAGTCTTCAGTAGAAGTGGTAGCAACTCTATCATTTTCCTTGTTATCACCATCCTCTTGTTCTTTGCCTTTCTTCTTGTTCTCCCGTTTCAATTGTCTACAATATTTCTTGATGTGTTCTTTCATGCCGCAGTGATGACACTCAACATTAACAA